CTTTTTTTGTTTGTTTGTTTGTTTGTTTGTTTTTTAATGGGGCTGAGAAGCTTTCTCCAGTATGAGCTTCAAGGTTGAACTGATTGGAGTAACGAGGTTGATTTTGCCTCTCTGGCCCCTGAACCACCCTGGAATGTGGTATACTAGAGAGAGACCTGGGTTTGCTTTCAGGGATGGAGTCTCTCAGCCACAGGTTGTGGTTCTGAAAACCAAGGGAGTTGTCTTAGTAACCACCTCTCAGGGAAGAACTCTTGTTGCCACCAGAGAAATGATTTGAAATACTTTCATCGTGTAAGGCAGAGTTAGGGATTAAGACCAGAAGGGATGCAACTATATGAAGAATTTACCAAAAACATCCCTGGAACACTCCTGACATGGTACCTAGGACCCAGGGGCATCTCAAAATCTATGAAAACTGTTAAAGATTTTTTTTTTTAAAAGGATAATGATCCCAAAAACTGCATCAGAAAATTGCACAATCAAAATCAATAAATGTTTAATTAAATATCTACAAAATATATCATAATATCAAGTAATTAACATTAATAAGCATGAAAAATATCTGGGAATTTTTTTGACTATGGATTCTGATTTAGTAGATCTGGGGTGGGCCAGAAATCCTACATTTCTAATAAGCTTTCAAGTGATGCTTCCGGGCCCATGGACTTTTCAATAACAAAGAGTTAAATATAGCCCAACTCAATACTTACATACTTATCAGTATAATGAATGCTGCAAAAAAGTAACCTAAGTAGTATACTTTTACAAAACTTAAAAAAAAAAGGAATTTTTATTGTGGTAAAATACACATAAGAAAATTTACCGTTTTAACAATTTGAAGTGTACAGATCAGTAGATCAAGCACATTCAAATGACTGTGCAACCATCATCACTATCCAACTCCCCAGCCAAAAGTCTCTATTAAACAATATCTATCATTCCTGTCTTCTCTGCAGCCCATGGTAGCCACAATTCTACTTTGTCTCTATGAATCTGGCTGTCCTAGATACCTTATTGTTGTGGTTTGATATGTAATATCCCCCAAAATCTCATGTGTGATACAACGCAGCAATGTTCAGAAGTGAAATGATTAGATTCTGAGAATTCTATAGTGGTAACTATAGAAAGAAAGGGTATGGCTGGAGGAAGTAGATCACAGGGATTTATATTTTATCCCTAGAGTCTCTCTCTCTCTTTGCTTCCTGGCTGCCAATGAGCTGAGCGGCTTTCCTCTACCATGCCCTTCTGCCATGATATTGTCTCACCTGAGGCCCAGAGCAATAGAGTCAGCCCACTGTGGGAGGCCAACCTTACACGTGACTGAGTTACACTCCCCAGCTGGGGGCTGAGGCTCTCAGTCGAAGAAATGTGGCACCTTTCTTGAGTGCGAGGGTTGGTGTCTCGTGCATGGGTGTGTCTTGCTGCAGCCCCATGGGTGAAGCTATGCTCACCTGTTCCTTTGTAATATAACCCCTTGCCCTGTTTAGGATAGAATCTTCCATGGAAGTGCCTTGTGTGTGTCCCCTTCTCTTACTGTGCCCCTGGGTGTGGCCTACCCAGGTGTCAGTCAACCTGCTGACAGTGGACATCATGAAGATAGACTCAGCCCCCTGAAACCTGACCCCTTGCCTCATTTAAATAGTTTCCCTCAATAAAAGGGGTCAGCACGTTCTCTCTCTCTCTCTCTCTCTTTCTGCGGACCCTTAAGGTCAGAGGAGCCCTCACAGCGACCCCAAAGAAAAAGGTATTGTGTCTCTTGTGTGGTTATTTTGTAAAGCCCAGTTAGCCCAGTTTAACTGGAGTGACCCCTGAGCCTTTTAATTGCAAGAACAGAAACCCAGCAGCCCACCATGGACTGAGACCTCTAAAACTGTGAGCCCAAAATAAACTTTTCCTCCTCTAAGTTGTTCTTATTGGGTATTCTGGTCATAGCATCAAAAAGCTGACTAACATACTCACATAAATAAAATCATACAATATTTGTCCTTTTGTGTCAGGCTTATTTCACTTAGCAAAATGTCTTCAAGGTTCGTTCATATTATAGTACAGGTCAAAATTTTAACTCTTTTTTAAGGCTAAGCAATATTTCATTTTATGCATATACTGGCTCTGGTTTGAGCACTTGTATACCCCACAAATTTACATGTTGAAATCCTAACACTCGGGGCTGGAGTCGTGGCTCAGCGGTAGAACGCTTGCCTAGCATGAGTGAGGCACTGTGTTCGAGTCTCAGCACTGCATATACATAAATTGTTTAAATAAAAGTCCATCAACAACTAAAAAAATATTAAAAGAAAAAAGAAATCCTAACACTCAAGTGACAGCAGTAGGAGGTAGGAACTTTGGAAGGTGATAAGGTCTTAAGGCCCGTAAGTGGAATTAGTGCCCTTATAAAGGACAACTCACAGAGATGGCGCATCCCTTCCACCCTATGAAGACACATTACAAAGTCAGTTCTCCACAAAGAGGTCCCTCACTACATGCTGAATCTGCCAGCTCCTTGTTCTTACACTTCCTAGCCTCCAGAACAGTAAGAAATAAATTTCTGTTGTTTATAAGCCACTCAATTTGTGATATTTTGTCACACCAATGGACAAAATATCCACACCAATGGACTAAGACAATACATTTTGTTTATCTATTCATCCATTGAAGGGCACTGAGGTGGTTTCTACATTTTGGCTATTGCAAATCATGTTGCTATGAATGTGGATGTACAAGTATCTGTTCAAGTCCCTGCTTTCAATTCTTTTGGATATATACCCAGAAGAAGAATTGCTGACTCATATAGTAATGCTATGTTTTGCTTAGCTGAAGTACCAAAATAATAATTACCTTAAAACTTGTCATCGCCCATTGTTTTGATGATCCAGAGGAATGCATTCCCCAGTGTCATGCCCTTATGTGATTCTCTCCCACGCTGACTGCTGGCTGGCCTTTTCACTGCTTTGATGAATAAAATGTAGAGGAAGTGATACTATGCCAATTCCAGGACTATTCCTTAATTGACCTGGCAGCTTCTGCTTCTTCCTTCTTAGAATGCCTACTCTTGGAATAGACCTTCTTGGAATTCAGCCACCATGTTGTAAGGCAATCCAAGCAGCCACATGCAGAGGCCCACATAGAAAAGTAAAAGGCCTCCAGCTGACAGACCCTGCTAAACTCCCAGTCAAGATCCATCTGACTCCTGAAAATAAGGCATTCCAGACATTTCAATCTCAGCTGACCTCCCGGTGAAGACTTCACATTACTGCAGACACCACTGTCCCAGTTAATACCACCTGAAGCAGAAGGCTCACCCCAGGAAAGATAATCCATTGTTATTTTGAACTGCAAAGTTTTGAGGTGATTTGTTACACAGCATTAGTAACTGAGACAAATATCTTAGAGCCAGAACAAAGTGCATTATATCTAATGTGAAATGTGGGTGGAACTTATAAGATATTCAACATAGAGGTAAGTAGGCCTAAGGTTTTCAAGGACCTTAAATATCTCAGGACTTCACAAAAGAGAAGATACAAGGCAACTAGTAGAAGATGGGCCTTCAAATAACCCCAGTGCTAAAAACCAAAAGCTAGAGTCTTTCTTTTCTTTCTTTCTTTCTTTCTTTTTATTTTTTTTAGATGTTGTGGCAGGTGTTGTTGTTGTTGTTGTTGTTTAATATATATATTTTTAAGTTGTTGATAGACTTTTATTTATTTATTTATATGTGGTGATGAGAATCTAACCCAGTGCCTCACACATGCCAGGCAAGTGTGCTACCGCTGAGCTATAGCCCCAACCCGCAGTTGTTATTTTGCTTGAGGTAGAAGCCCAACTGGCCCAGAACAGATGCCACTTAGCAGATGCCACTTATACCAGAGGAGGCAGCCTAGGATTGGTTCACATATGTGGCTTGACATAGAGCTTCTGAGGGAATTGAACTCTTAATTAGAAGCTTCCTTGTGCCCAGAAGTCATTGTGCAGCTGAGTGATAAGAATGATCTGATCTTAAGATTCCCACAGGTGGGGAACTCCCCGCCTTAGGTAGGGTGGCTGAGAGGGGCTGAGGATGTAACTCACTGGTGGGCTGCTTGCCTGCTTGCCTGGCACACACAACACACAAGGCTCTGGGTTTCAATCTCAAGTGTTTTTTTTTTTTTTAAAGTAGGTAGGAGCAAGGTGTCGGAGGCGTGATGCTCAATCACCCAGTCCTGAGTCCCTGATCCTCTCTCACTGCCCGACTCGTGGGGAGATCAGCTTCTAACTCACTTCATTCTCCATAGCTGCAGGAACTGCCCTGACCCTCGGCAAGAAGGACACCAGGCAAAGGTTCACTCATTATTCATTAACATATATTGAGCACATATCATGTGCCAGAAGGACACTATGCTGGGCGCTAGGAATATGTTGGGAAATAAAGTAGACATTGTCCCTCCTAACCCAGTGGAGACAGATTTAAAAAAACAAGTATACCAAGAAGATATTACAAAAGCTGTGTTTGTTCCTGCCTGGGAGGCCATTTGCATAACTGCCTCTTCTTGAAGTGCCCTTATTCTTACATTTTTTTGTCATTTGGATGTCAGGTTAAATATCACCTCTTAGCAAAGGCCTCCCCTTCCACCACTCTAGTCCCTCACTATAATCTCCTTCTAGTACCTTCTATCATCAGGTATTTTATTATGTATTCATTGGTTTGTTTATTAACTTTCTTTGCCAAAGAAGGTAAACTCCAGAAAGAAAGGATCTGCATTTTATTCACTGCTATTTCTGGAGCTCCTAAAAGAGCCTGGCATGTAGGTGATCAATAAACTTGAATAAATGAGTAAAGACATAAAACTGGTGGCTTTACCACACACACAAAAAAAAATTTAGTTTTTTTGTTTTTTGTCCTGTACAACTTAGCCTGTAGTTCTATTTACTCCTCCTCAACACAAAACAAAAATTAATGAACAAAACATATTATGCACTTATGTGATAATTTGCACATTAGGAAAAAAAAAGAACAAGTGTATACTCACAATACTCACAATTACATCTTCTCTCTGAGTGTGGTGGCACATGCCTGTAATACCAAACTCCAGAGGCTGAGGCAGGAGGATTTCAAGTTCAAGGCCAGCCTAGGCAACTTAGCAAGGCCCTAAGCAACTCAGTGAAACGCTGTCTCTAAATAAAATACAAAAAAGAGTGGGGGATGTGGCTCAGTGGTTAAGCACCCCTAAGTTCAATCTTCAGTACCCCAAAACAAAGGGATGTGGATGTAGCACAGTGGAAGAGCACCCCTGGGTTCAATCTCCATTACTGCAGAAAACAAAAACAATTGAATCTTCTGTCCCTCATGAAAAAAAAAAAGTGGGATCATCAGAGAGAATGGTGGAATTCCAGCCAAAAAACAATGAGTGAACATTTCTGTCAGAGGATGAATGTGTGTCATCCAATGAGCATCTAGATATCTTGAAAAGAGTGCATAGCTGCTTACTACGATTGTCACAATCTCTTGGTGGGTTTGACACAAAGACCTCCAGCCAACGTACTAGAATTCATTATCAGGCATCTCGAAGTCATGTTCTATCCAGCCACCCACTGAGCACCTATCTGCCTGCTGTGAATTGGGTCCTGTATTAGACCTAGGTGAACAAAGATGAACAAGACACAGCCTCCGACTTCAAGTTGTTCAAATACCTTGGGGGACACTAAGCCCCAAACCAACAATATTATATATATATATAGTGATTCATGAAAAGATGGAGCTCAGCAGAGAGTATCATTAGGAACCCACTGGTAGGACATCTGACATGGTTGTGAAGCCAGATTTAAAGTTAGGTAGTCAGTGTAGTGAGGTAAATCGGGTCTAATATCGAGTGAAATCTAAAATGGAGGCCATGCTGGGAATGACTCAGGGAAAACTCAGGACAATTCATGGAATGTTAGTGAAGTCCTGAAAAGGCCCTAGGCCAAAGTCCACCTCAAAGAAGTGTTAATGAACAGCCCCCAACAGATTTGGAGATGGCCCATCCCAGAGAAGTGATAAGCCCATCCCAAAAGTCCTTTCTGCCCTTTTGGCCCACCGGTGTCCCACCTCTCCCGCCCTCCAACCTACATTCCATCACCAAACCTATAAAAAGGGGAACACAGTTGCCCGCTAACTGGATTCCACCTCTTGGGTCCCCTTCTTCCTCCGGGAGAAGTCTTTTCTTCTGTCCTTTAATAAATTTCTAATCTCTACTCTGACCTTGCCTCGGCGTGCTTCTTTGGTGTTATTCTTCAACATCGGGGAAGCAAGGACTCGTCACCGGTCAACAGGGGTAACAGTTGGACCGGTACTGCCTGGAGGAGGCATTTCCCACGTTTAACGTTAAAGGATAGGAAGTGGTAGGGGAATGGAATGGTGACAGCTGGTCAGAAAGGATATAGGCACAGAGGGAAGCAACCACTTGAGCAGAGAGCAGCTCAGGCTGCTGGAGCAGAGAAAGGAAAGAAGGAAGAAATAGAGAATGCAGTTAGCCTGCAGCAGAAACCACTCGGGACAATGCTAGACCCCGGTTATAATGATCAGGCTCTATCTTGTTCCTTGTATTCTCCCTGTCTTAATATCCCTCTTGGGACTTAAAACATACAGTATGAGTACCAGGGTTCAGATTTATGAAGACAAGCATGGGCATTTGTGTTTAAGATTTTTTCACCTCTATTAAAGAGACAGAAAATAAAACACATTTTCCTTTTTTACTTCTTTTTGCCCCTAGTAACAGATAGCTTTTAAAAAGTCAGCATATGTCCATTAACCTTAAGAAAATGCAGCACAGAATCCAGGAAATTTCCATTGTTTGGACAACTGGCAAAAAAAAAAAAAAAAAAAAATTTAAAAAAAAAATAGCTTTCTCCCAGTTCCAGGCAACAATTTCACCCATACTGCAATTAGATAGAAGAATAGAGAGCAAATTAGAGGAAGAGATTAGCATTAATGGAAACTGTTTTTTTTCTTGGTTTATTAGAAACCTTGGAGACTCAAATTTTGTTTTCCTTTGTTTTAATTAAATTTGTTTTTAACCGATACATAAAAACATAAAAATTGCATAGATTACTGGAGTACCATGTGATGTTTTAATACATGTATACATTGTGTAATGCTAAAATCAGATTAAACCCATCTATCTCCTCCAACACTTACCACTTCTCCATGGCAAAAATAGTCAAAATCCTTTCCTTTATTTTGTTGAAAACGAACAGTACATTATCATTGTTTCATTGTTATAGTAACCCTACTGTACAAAGGCACATCAGAATCTCTAACTCCTATTCAGCTGTATAGTTTAGTACCCACTAATCAACCTCTCCCCACTCCTTCCTACTCCCACACAGCCTAGACTCTGGGAGCCACCATACTATTCTCAATTTCTGTGAGATTAACTTTTTTAGAGTGGGATCATGAGTGGGATCATGTGGTACTTGTCTTTCTTTAACCGACCGATCTCCAGTTCTATCCATGTTGTCATAAATGATGGGATTTCATTCTTCTTAGGGCTGAACCCTATTTGTTGTGTGTATGGACCACATTTTCTTTATCCTCTCATCAGTTGATGGACACTCAGATTGTTTCCACTTCTGAGTTAATTTAAACAATAATAACAGCAATAAACATGGGGAAAATGCACACATCTCTTTGACATACTGATTTCATTTCCTTTGGATAGATACCCAGGAGTGGCATCGCTGGATCTTTTGGTAGTTCTATTCTTAATTTTTTGAGGAATCTCCATACTGTTTTCCATAATGACTGTACTAATTTACATTTCTACCAATAGTGTATAAGGGTTTCCTTTTCTCTACACCCTTGCCAGCAGTTATTTTTCCCCTTCTGCAATGAAAAAGTGAATATTTCTTATGGTTTCATCTGCTTTGTTAACCAAAAAAAACAATACTGTGAAATCTGAAAGAGAAATTTTGGAGGAAGCCATACAAGGGTAGATTTCCAACTACCTTATCAGGCTGCTCACCAAGGATCAAACTAAATTCCCTTTTAACATGAACTATTCAGCAAGAAAAGTTTTGCACACATTTAAACCTATACCCAGAGCCCCTCTGTAGTCTCGAAATCTATCATGCTAGATTTACACACTCAGATCATGGGTGCTTAGAGACTTGTATGGTCAGCACTCCAGAAGGCTAGAGTGGGGTCAAGTGCCATGAGGACTAAACATGTTGAGGAAACAGAGGCAGCAGGACCTCAGGTGAATGTGCAGTATCTTCTCCCTCAAAAATACAGGACTCTCAGATTTGAATTGCAGAGTAATAACAATAATGTTTAGTTTCAGTGTATATCATGTATTACATCAGATACATTGATACTGAAATATTTTCTATAGTTTATGTGCGATTCAAATTTAACTGAGAGCCCTGTATTTTTATTCACTAAATCTGGCCATTCAAATTTAACTGGATGTCTTTCCTGTATTTTATCTGGCAACCCTACCTTGTCAGGTCTCAGGCTCATCCATTCCTCCCTCTACCTGCCCAACCCACCCCCTACCTCCAATCGTTTCCTTTCTCTTTCCCCCTCTTCTGGCTCCTGTTCTTCCTCATTCCTGCATCAAAACAAGAAAGAAATCTGACAACAGGTTCAATATAACTGAAACTTATTCAATACAAATATGTTCTCTTGCTTCCATTTGCACACTCTTTTGTTGTTATTGAAAGTGTAAAGACTTTATTCCCTACTAAAATTACCCCAAGCAAAATGCAACTGGCAGGGGAGATCTAGGGGCAACCCGCTTTAATAATTCAAGTAGACCACACTGAAATGTGAGCAAGTTTGAACTGTTCTCACCAGGCCCTCTATCAGTACCTCCCTTGAGGAATGCAGCTCTCAGCTCCCAGCCACTCAGGAGTTTTCATTTGGGGAGCAGGGAGAAATGGAAAAGACTGAGAAGAAGGAGGCAGAGGCGAAGCATCTAACTGTCGCATGGTGCTAACTAGAATCTTTGTAATTTGGTTTTAGTGTCAGAGTTTGCACGTGGGGTGATAATTAAATGGTAGGTGGTATCAGAGAAAGCTATGAACGTGGAAGCTGTTGAGAGATACTGGCGACACAAACAAATAGGAAGAGAAAAGTTAAATAGATTTGGTTGTGTAGAAGTCATACTAATTATAGTCATTTCGGTGAGTTTTCTACCACATGGATGCCTAATTACCATACGGCGCCATAATACTTATGGGTATCATTATATAAGCCTTAAATTAACTTTCTGACGAAGTGTAATTGGATTAGAACAGGAGACTCAACACAGACCCAACCGAGCCTTCCCAGTGTGTTAATCCATGTGCCAAACAGCTACCACTATTTCTAAAAGGTTAGTGCCACTATAGTGCAAGTCACAGCAAGAAAGGCAACTGTGGTAGGTGGCATCAAAAACGGCTCCCAGGGACCTCCATTACCTTGTGTCTGTGCTTTTGTGTAACCCCTTCCCTTTGGTAAGGGTAAGATTCCAAACCAACCCTTTTATACTAAGCTTTGGGATGCTGGGACAGGGACCCTGCAAACCAAATTCCTGTGTTGTGGGCGGCTCTCTTGCTAGGCTCAGCTGAGTGTGGGTTGAGAGGGAGGCTGCAAGCTGGAGGAGGCAGGGACTCGCTCCCAGAATCCTTCCTAGGATTGCTTCCGTTTCTAACTATTCCTGTAAGCATCACCCCAACAACACATATTCATAGCAGCAACTGAATTTAGTTTGCAGTTTCTTCAACGCTCAAGAAAACCAGCCTCATGTTGACCAGGACACCAACACCAGCTGAGTATCCTGCTCCTCCGAAGTTTGGGGCCCCAGTTATCAATGCCCTCCTCCGTATTTCCAAGTTTTAATTATTTCGACTGCTTCCTTGTGTCCCCCAGACTCTACAAGTAGAGGCTGCTTCCTAGAGATACTATTTCCGTGAGTCCTTAGAGGTCTAGTTTGTCTTTTTCAGGTAGCCCATTTACAATGATTTTTCTTAAATTTCTTCTTTTAAAAAGCAAACTGCAGTGATTTGTCTCCTGGTTATTCTGCTGTACTCCTAGCCAGGCTCAATCCCAGCTTCCCTGTTAACCATCTAGAGAGAGCTGCCCGCCCTGCAACTACACAGCCTTATAAAGTGAAGGCATCCTCCTGGGACAACCAAGC